CGGTACCGTGAGGACTCATTTATTGTTTTTCTCACCTTCCACGTCTTTAACGCTTCTCCATTTCTCACCCTTACTTCCTTTCAGCTCTTGTGAAACTTTTCTGGTCTGATTGTTATCAGTTGTTTAAACCAACTTTCAGCTGCTTCTCTCTCTGTGCCGCTCTGTCAATTTAAAGTGTCAATTTAAATTTATGTAACCTCAAATGAATTAATGCGATGATTTAGAGTTTTTCGTAAGGAGAAATCTCAGTACAACCTACACAGATTGGTAATGTTGAAATGCCAGTGACGATCAGTAGGAGAAATTTACCTTTAAGTGCAGTTGCAGCAGTCTTCAAAGGTGTTGGCCACCTACAATGCTTTATGACTTCCCCCTGACCTTTAACATTGAATCACTGAGCACACAGATGTGAGATTGTGTGGGTGCGGTAGTTATGAGTACCTGTCGGCAGAGTCACCTGCTTTAGAATATATGAACCTAATGTATGTTGTTTTCACAGCTGAGCTTATTTATCACCCTTTTCCACGTCCACCTGCTCGGTTTGACTCGTACCCTAACTTGATAGTAGATTTTTTTGAATTTAAGTAATCTTGTAAGAATTATTAAATAGATTCCAGATGACTTGCACATGATGGTGAAGTGGTCCTTTACAAGCTCATTGATATATAATTTTTAATTTTGTATTTATTTAGTTTTTTGGGTGTGTGTAAGCTACTGGGATTGCTCTGATATTTAAAAGATGTTGTTTATCAATGTCCTTTTTCTTTCTGTGTAAACCTCCAGTTTGCTCGCCTCGGAGAGTTGGCAGTTTGAAAATGACGCAATGTTAGTTGCATTGAGCTGGCGTAATGCTCTGAGGAAATGTTGACCACAAGCAGTCAGCTTTAGTCTGGGTTCAATCTTCTCCCCAAGTAAAGATTTTACATGTGAACGTAGTGGGAAATCAAAGAAAAGCTACAACCTCACCTTGTTTGAATGAGGATTTGTATCGGACAGTTATGCCACTATGAAACTGACTTCAGCCCTGGAGAGCAGTGGACCGGAAAATAGTTTGACTGCAGTGTCTCCAGTCTCGGATGAACTGCACCGTTAAGCTCATACAGGGATGCGTTTGCTCGGGTCGTTCGCATATCTGCTGTTGCAGCGTAACTTTGGCCCGACGCTCGTAACGTAAGTGAGACTGGCTGGGTGGGCATCGTATACCCGGAGTTGGGGTTTTGACCATTGCACAAAATTGTCTCTGAGTCTGTATGCGTGCTGTGGGGAAAACCCTGTTCTAACGTTTGACTCTGTGGTTTATTTTGAGCTTTCTTTTACTTCATGTTCTTAAACTCATTTGCAACTTAAAACAGATCTGCAAGACAAACGTATTTAAGAGCAGCGCGTGAATAAAAGGTTTGACGACATTAAGCCCACAAAGCCCGGCAGAGCCGGTACCAGGACCGTGACCTCGGGTAAAGTGAAAGAAAACATGTTTCTAGTGTCCAAATCAGCAGCACTGTTCCTGTAATCAACATTTAAAGCTTTACTGGGAAACCGCAACCGCGGTCCTTCATCAAAGCACCAACAAACTTTGACATGAAGGAAAGCGAACTTTGTACCTGCTCCATCCACCACTGTTTGCTTTACATAGATAAAAATCTGCAGGAAGTCTCCAGAAGTTGTGTTAAAATATGCAGATTAACTGTTAACTTACCAGGGGTGGGTCTAAAGGTGGGCATGGCATGCACTAAACCATATTTATTTTGAAGTTTTCATAATATTTTTCAGACTGAAAGGGAAATAATATCAAACATTGTTAATTAAATCGCGTTAAAAATCTAAAAATTAAACTGACGAGAGGGATTTTAGGTTGGGCGGTGAATTCTTGTTGATATTAATGAACGTCTGCTCCATCATAATGTCAAGGTTCTTTATTTGTCACATGCATAGTTATACAAGTATAACACACAGTGAAATGTAGCCTGACACGCTCCTCGACATGTGCAAAAAAAATAAATAAATAAATATATATATATACACACACACACACACACACACACACACACATATAAACAACACAACACACACACATATATCACACTGGGTGAATGTGCAGTAGTAGCAGCAAGCAGGTGAATTCTGTACATTAATATGAATAGATATCTGACTTGATATATGTCTTGTTTTCAGCAGCACAAACTTTGCATCAAAGCACAGGGAAAACTTCAGTATGCTGCTATGCTCACATGCTCCTTTATAGGCTTACAGGCAGAAACTCACCTGCACACTTAAACACACAGCCAAACGCGCACAATGACTCATAAAGCTTTCCAACAAGACAGAGTAAACATGCTTTTTTTTTTTTTTTTTTTTTTTTTATGCCTCAGTTTAGATTTCATATTTACTTTACAGTTAATTTTGAAAGGGGCGTATTTTTTTCTATTCTGAATATTTATCATTGCTCATTAATAAGACAAAAGTATTTCTTATCCGATTAATCGATGGAATAATTGATAGATTAATCGATAGCTTCAGCACTAATTTCATAACCAAACCGCGTCCATGCTTCTCAGCTAACCCCACGTTTAGAAAAACGCTCCTCAATTTCCTTTGTCTGGTTCTTCTGTGTTGCCATGGTGACTATTGGAAACCGTCATGTAAAGCAATTAAAAAATATTGCAGTAAACGGTGTATTTTGCAACGGCACAAAATAAACGGGGAAACGAGAGACGTTTTAATACCGTCATCCACAACGTCATCACATCCCAGTCTGCAGTTGGCTTTGGGAGGAATGAAACCACTAATCAATTAGAGAAAGATGATGTTGTGTCTGGTGTTCCAGACGATGATGCATCCAAATGGCACTGATGATGATGCAAACGTGGAGTTGGCTGCATTGGGTTCCGCCTGACCCGTGCTGGTGTTGCAGTCCCCGCTGTTCCACTGCTGTGGACTGATGCTGTCATAGGCAGCTAACCATCATGCTCATATGAGGTGGAATCTATGTAAACAGACTAAATAGTTAATACAGGTATGAGGCTAGGTGCTAAAGAGCATTGATCAAAAAATTTAATGGCAACCTGAATCTTCTTTGGCGTTAGACAAAACTGGAGCAGCCACAGGATGTTTCAGTGAACGTAATATGAATACATAGATAAAAATCTCTGATGCAGAGTTTTTGCTTCAGTTAAGGTTTTATTGCATTAGGAGACAAAGGCATTCAGTATTGTATCTCCTGGATGAGGTGTGTGTTCATCTGTATGTGCGCAGATGCCTTTAAAAGAGCATGTGATGACGGCAATGAAGAGAGAGACCAGTCAGTATTCTCCGAGCGCAGATCTGAGGTTTGGCCTGTGCTTTGTTGCAACATTTCGTTTCATGTTCTGATTGTGTAGATATTAATAATTAGTGTTAATAATAATTCAGTGCCCAGCCTAACAGCCTCTGGTCAGTGGCTTACTGGCACGTGTGCTTTTATTGGCCCACAAAAAAGAATGAGCTTTTTATATACATGTTATTTGTTACTGCAGTTTAATATATTTTATATTCGTCTAAATCTGCAAAATAATCTACTAAAGCCTTGAATTAAGACTCCATGCCCCCATTTAGATTCACCCTCTGCTTATCGCAGGTGACACTGGCATATAAAGTAAAATAGCTGCTGTCAGCCTTCAGCAAGCTGCCTGGTCAGACTAAGTTAGCAGTTCAGCTGTGTACGTATGCTTTCATTGGAACAGCTGTGCTATGGATTTACTGCTGTGTAAAACAAATAGCAGAAAGTTCACATGAGTTTGCACATGATGTTTCATGAAGAACCTGCATGAGCTTTTTCCCAGGAGTAAAGGTTTTGATGGTGATTACAGTATAAGTGTGGGTGTTTTGGACGTTTCACATTCAATGCTAAACTATGATAGCATCATCTTCACTGCTGCTGTTGTGTTATCAGTGTCTTTGTGGAGAAAGCTGTGGGCCGCGTGAGTTTAGGGTTGCCGTAGTTTTATTCACATGCATGCTCCTCAATCTGTTTCTGCTGTAACACTCACGGTTACATGGATTAAACAAAACGTCAGTTAATTGATGAATCATTGCTGCTCTGCAATGCACCAACCACACATGTGCACCTAGCAGTGAACCTCAAGCAGACTTCAAAGAACCATAACAGGAATGACTACTCAGTCGTGCTGTCTCTCCCTGTGTCAGCAGCAGAGTGTAGCTGAGGCCTAAGTGCTCAAAGCTCCTGTACGGGTTTGACGTTGATGTTTCCAGACAAAAGGTTCTTGAGGCCAAAAGTCCAGATACCTTGGATGCAAATGGCTTTAAAGACAGAAGATCATTTTATTTAGACAGTCTACCAGTATTGTTAACAAGACTGAATATGTGGTTTGAAAGTGAGGATTCACTTTGCCCCTGCCTGCTGTGGATTGCCTGAACCCTAACATCTTCCTCTTCCAGTACGGCCGACTGTGGCTGTTCTGCCAGCACAGAGAAAACGCTCCAGCAAATATGCTGTATTCAGCCTGCAGCTTTCACTTGTCAAAAACTGCCAGCCTGCCCACTGCAGTATGTATGAGCAGGATGTGTGTATTCACTGAATGCATGCACACATTGTCCTTTCTGCAGAATTAGCATGAGTGGCTGCCCATATCATAATTAGAGGTTGACAGATAAATGTCGCAGATGAAATATGTGCCGCCAGAAATTCAAAGCTGGGATGCAGCTTGGACACATTTGTTGTTGTGTATTCTTAGTCTGTTATTAGCAACTCGTTATTTCTTTCATCAAACTTTGACTTGCAACACTTTAAGGTCCACTAGAGTGTTGCAAAAAACAGGCAGAGCTCGTTTAGTTTGCTTCACCCTGCTGGCCGGCAGGACATCGACCCCAAATTTGTAAATACGATAACTCGAGAACGAGGCGAATCTGGACACAAATGATTCTTTTCAGTTCTGTTGTATCAGTGTTTCCTGTGGTGCGACCAGATCTCAATGTGTCTCTTCTCTCTTCTCTCTACCATGCAGGCCTCATGGAGCTGGAGACCAGACACCTGCTGTGCACCAGGGAGCTCGATCCATGCCCGGTTCCCAGTAAACAAACATAAAGGGTGGGAACCTTACTGGCCCTCTACTTCCTTTACCCCATACCCAAAAATCGCCCCTGTGGTTATCTTGTCCTCTCCCTTCTGTGGCCCCAGCATGATTGGCAAGCTGAAACAGAACTTGCTGGTGGCCTGTCTGGTCATCAGCTCGGTCACAGTTTTCTACTTAGGCCGCCATGCAATGGAGTGTCACCATCGCATCGAGGAGTACAGCCAGCCAGGAGGAATCCTGCCTTTGTCTGGGCTGGGAGGCAGCATGCGGACCACCTTACGGACAGGCCAGAACCTCAGCATGCCGTTCATTTACAACAAAGACATGCCGCTCATTTTCATCGGTGGCGTACCCCGTAGCGGGACCACACTAATGCGAGCTATGCTGGACGCCCACCCCGAGGTCCGCTGTGGTGAGGAAACTCGCGTCATCCCACGCATCCTGGCCATGAAACAGATGTGGAGCCGCTCGGGTCGGGAGAAGATGCGCCTGGACGAGGCTGGCGTGACTGACGAGGTGCTGGACGCCGCCATGCAGGCCTTCCTGCTGGAAATAATCGTCAAGCACGGTGAGCCCGCCAACTTTCTGTGCAACAAGGACCCATTTGCACTGAAATCTCTTTCCTACCTGGCCAAAATATTTCCCCGTGCCAAGTTTGTGCTCATGATTAGAGACGGTCGGGCTTCGGTCCATTCCATGATCTCGCGAAAGGTGACCATTGCTGGGTTTGACTTGGGGAGCTACAGGGACTGCCTGACCAAGTGGAACCGGGCCATAGAGACGATGTACACTCAGTGCCTGGACGCTGAAGACAAATGCCTGCCTGTGCACTATGAACAATTGGTGCTGCATCCTGAAAAATGGATGAGGACACTGCTGAAGTTCCTTGATATTCCCTGGAATGATGCCGTTCTCCACCACGAGGAGCTCATAGGGAAAGCTGGAGGAGTGTCCCTCTCCAAGTAAGTAATACTGATGGCATTCCTACAATTTTCCTTTCCCAGCCCTGTGTTCTGTGCTTTTACTTTGAAAGGAAACGTCTGGTCTGGATAATGTCAATCTAACGTTGTTTTTCCTTTTGTTGTTTTGTAAAAATTCTTAAACTATAGACTTTTGGGAGAAAAACGGTGAATGTTTCATGGCAAATGTGATCAGTTGTAGCTCAACTTTGGCTACAGTTACAGTAACTAAAGTAAAATGTCAGAGTGACACATCATTGGCTGATGTGTCTTTGATCCCTTTTGTTTGTGTCTGCAGGCGACCGTTTTGTTAACATGCAGGGTAAGCTCTTTCATTACAGCACAGCTCTATACGACGCCTTTTTGGGAAAAACTCCTCTTCGTGCAGTTTGCTCAAACTCAAACGCCTCCTTTCTTCACTTGTGTGTCTGTTGTGTTAGGACTGAGTGCACTAATGAGTAAAATGGGTGTCTGTGTGTCTTATGCTGAAGACGCATTTTGGGGTAGCTGAGCTGCTTCCAGTGCTCTGTAGCTGTTACTAGCACAGCGCACGCTGAATCATCATCCATCTGTGTTATGTTATGATTCATTTCCAGCTCGCTGCTCTGAGGATCGTTGACGTTTTGGACATTTAACCCCGTTGGAATGTAGTTTATCAAAGCTGTTTCCCCCTTTTATCCATGTATGTAGCTACAGTTTCTACACAACCTTCTTTCTACAGCTGCATTGCTGAAGCTCTGAAGCTAAATGTTTGGTGATGCAAGAAGCTGTAAATTGTGTCTGGCCCACAAGCTCCACTTGGTGAGCCAGGCTTGTCGTATATCACATTCCCACTGCAATAGAAATGCGCTTGGGAGCGCCCATGTCGACTTGGCTTTCAACTACTTAGCCTTGAAGGAGAGAATGTATGGATTGACTATTAACCTTAAGGTAAAAGGACTTGTTGGTGAGCAATGTGTGAAGTGAAATGTCATGTTCTATATAATCTGAGTTCTTGATGGTGTTAAAAACAGGGACTTGAAACGTATCCTCCCTGTTCCACTGTTATATTTCACTACAGATGAAACATCCTGCAGCTGCACACAGTGAGACTCATCATTAGTGACTTGAAACATATGAGACGATGTCTGCATTGCTGCACTGTGAGCACGTTTGCCTAATGGCCCTGCCTGGTGTCAGAGTTGTTTTGAATACTCTGCTATGGGAGGCTGGCCTCTGGAAGTTTTTGAGGAAACTTTTCTCTGCTTCATATTACCCCCAACCCCCTTTGCTACCACGGTCTTCCTGCCACATGGTAGAAAACACTCCCCATTCTCCAGGAGATATTTAGGCCACATTTTGTTATTATCCCTCTATGAGAACACTTCCAAGTTTCTGTTTAAAATGCTTTGCATCTATTGAGCAGTAACTGCCCATCTTTACTGTAATCTTCTGTGAAGACATCCAACTTCCTCTGTCGTAAGATGCGAGGGCCGAGTTCTTTCCTGCCAAATGGAAATTGCTAACCGGCCGTCTTCTTTCTTTTAGGTTTTACATTTACAATAAACAATATTAGTTTTAAGGAACGGTGAACATGTAGGCGAGAGGTCAGTAAAGTTCAGTTATGCCCAGTTTTGAATTGGATAGGATCAGGTGGGTCAGGCCTGCAGCTCATTTCCATTTGTGGACAAAACGCTGAATGCATTCAAAATAATTCATATTCTAAATACACATAATACATCTTATATTTTCCGTGTATACAGTTATTTCACACTGAAAGTTCTTTCCGTTGGAGGGCAGTTTTTTCCTCTGCCCTCAACCAGTGCCTTTAGAGCACTGGGATCAGGTCACCCACTGATTGGGAGGTAGGTGATTTGCATCAAAGGGGTGTGTGTGTGTGTGTGTGTGTGTGTGTGTGTGTGTGTGTGTGTGTGTGTGTGTGTGTGACATAAAATAAAGCGTTGTATGTATGTGCATCTGAATGGGTAAATTGATTATTACTCAATGAGGTTAGAGCTCTATATAAACACCTTCACCATTTACTTTACCAAGGAGTCCACACTACATAAGCAGGAGACTGACCTGGGGCCAGTGAGTGGGTGTGAAGCTCTGTGTGCTTTTAAGTGCTTTGGTCAGTAAGGCTGTAAAAATGCTGTGTTAGTAAAGTTCAAATGAAGCCAGGAAGCAAAGCTGGAAGAACAAAAATGCCTACTATAATTTTTTTGTCAGTGTCACTGCCCTGTCATTAAGATGAAGGGAGATCCACGTAACTAGGTTTGTATGTTCCATTATATTAATGTGGTGTTTAAATATATCCACTTTTCTCTTGCAGCTGCTCTATTTTTGCAAAAACTTGCAAGTGTCTTGTTAAAGTTATCCCGTCTATCTCAAATTGAAAAGACACTAATAGATGTATTAAAGCCCTGAAGACTAATTTGTAACTTTTTAAAAAGATTGATACAGTTAAACGTCTGGATTTAGGTTTCATCTTACATTGTAAACAGAATAAACCATGATGGCTTCGTGCTTTAAACCAAGCAGTGAAACTAATGTCGGGTGCTTTCATGCGTGCTGTGACGCAGGCTTGGATACAACCGAGACTCCCGAGTGTCCTTCAGCCCTACTGGTACAACTCTGTTGACTAAATGACAAAGGCAGAGGTCCTCAGAAAGGCCAAAGTACCTGTGTCTCTCAACGACTTTCAGTTGTGTCCAGACGGTGGAAAAATTCTCCTCAGTGGTTACATCTGAGTTAAACAAGCACAGAGTGCTTAAGCCTGTTTATTATACAGGTACAGGAAGCTACAAAACCTGAATAGAAAGGAAAAAGAGGCCAGAACAGATCAAATGTCTGCACCAGGTAAGAGTGTGGTAAGACCTCTTTGGGGTTTGCTGATCTGCAGCCATTTAGAGCGCACATCAGCCCCTCACAAATTGATTCAGCATCAAACATTAATGAATGGGGACAGGAATTAGAGCCCTGGTGATAATGTGGAGACACTGCTTTGTCCTTTTCTTTGGAACAAACAGAATCAGGGACAAAGTCCAAGACGTAGCAGGAATCTACAGAGTTTACATCACTTTACAACATGATAGATTTAATCAAATGATACTGTTTCTGTTGGTGTCTGTTACCTGCTAAATTTGTTTTTATCATCCAAACACGAGATTTCAGTTACAATGCTGTCTGTCCAGTGAGTAATGATCACGTTGCAGAAAATCATGTCAGTGAAAGAAATCAAAGCAAATGTGAAAATGCCTCATTTACAGTTGCTGCTGATTCGTTCTTGCCGTCATTGAACAGAACAGACGGAGAGAGCAAGACTGCTTAGTGCAGGAGACTGCAGACTGCTACATTTTAACTTTTTGTCAGCTACTTTTCAGAGAAAGTGTTACCAAATAGGTTATGATGAGTCACTAAATATAGTGACAAACTTGCTAATTTGGTAATCAAGGGGTGAACTGATTATGAAGTGTGATGATCAGCAGGGTTGGCTAATGAACTCAGTGCTTTTTAGAGTACAACAGAGTTAGATGAATGCTTCCAAGCACTGTCTCACACTTGGCACTGAGGTCTAGCTTTTCCTGCTAGACCTCCGTGCAGCGTTCTTTACTGGTGACCATAATATTCTATTAGAGCGAATAAAGCATGCTGTAGGTATGTAGTTCCTAGAGTATTTAAAAGTAGAATGGGAGGCAGAGCCTTCAGTTTTCAGGCCCCTCTTCTGTGGAACCAGCTTCCAGTTTGGATTCAGGAGACAGACACTATCTCTACTTTCAAGGTTAGGCTTCAAACTTTCCTTTTTGCTAAAGCATATAGTTAGGGCTGGACCAGGTGACCCTGAATCCTCCCTTAGTTATGCTGCAGTAGGCTGCCGGGGATTCCCATGATGCTCTGGGTGTTTCTTCTTCACTCACTATGTGTTAACAGACGTCTCTGCACTGAATCATACTTGTTATTAAGCTCTGGCTCTCTTCCACAGCATGTCCTTGATCCCATCTTCCTTCTCTCACCCCAGATGGCCCCGCCCCTCCCTGAGCCTGGCTCTGCCGGAGGTTTCTTCTTGTTCAAAGGGAGTTTTTCCTTCCCACTGTCGCCAAAGTGCTGCTCATAGGGGATCATAGGGTTTTGTTGATTGTTGGGTTTTTCTGTGGGCGCTGTATAAATAAAATTGAATTGAAAGAGTGAAGCTGGTTTTATGATGGGCAGAGCTAGCATGTTCAGGGCCTGCCAGTCTGCCTGCGGTGAGCTCTGTTGTCAGATGGAGGCAGTGTATAAAATCTGTTTGTGTGAGCCAGCTGCAGAGGAGAGCAAAGTTCTCGCATACAAAGAGTTAAAGTGAAACGGTCTTTGCTCTCATGCTTTATTTTCTGATCTTTGAAGTTTTTTTTTTTTTTGTTTTTTTTTGCGGTTCTCCCGTTCCTCGTAAACTGTATCGCTCCCTGCTCTATTTCTGACCACTTGTCAACCATTTATCATCGGGCTGTAGCATACATCATCCACTTCCTGCGGCAGCGTGTCTTGTGTGGGTGAAGAGCCCCCCTCCGTGTGACGAAGTGTACACAAAAGGACACATTTGTGGGGACTATAAATCAAGTAATGTCAATCCTGCCATGTGTTAAAATCAACAACCACACAGGACTAGCCAAAAACAACCTCGGGTTGTGTTTAACTAGGTAACCATGAGCACCCCCAAAAAAAAGCAACAAACAGGAGAAAAAAAACCAATGAAACAAAACACTCAGCGGTGTGATGAGGTGATTCCACTGTGATGTAAACTGCCCAACCCTAACGTGCATCCATGAGCAGTTTTTGTTTAGTACACAGTGTACATGTCCGCTGTAAGAGGCTTTGATCCACAGTCGTACCGCTCCCATAAATGGGTTCTGATACGATTTGATGGAAGATGCGGCCAGCCACAAGTAGCCTTCGGGGCAGCACAACTGCCTTTTACCATCACAAACATTTTGGCCCTCCTATCAAGTACTTTGCCCAGAGTGCATTAAAGTCAACCCCCATGACACCTGGCAGCTAAAGGCTCTTTCCCACTCCAACCACCAACAATCCCATCCTCCACCACCCTACAGCATTTGGTCTCTATCTACACAAAAATCTCAATCAGTGGGCAGCCAGGCCCCAGACTGGGACCTTGCCTTAGCATTAACATCAATTACCTAGCGTTGATTTAGTGGAGGCCCTGCCTAGCTAAGAGACCCGCTCCATTACTTATCCCAGAGCACTGAACTGTCTGATCCATCCTCCCCAACTCTCCAACCTATTTGTGATCGAGATGTCTCTATCCGATTCTCTTATTGGCTTTTGGTGATACAGAACACCACCTTGGGTAAAGAGGGCCCAGCACTGAATAATTGACAAGCTGAAGGCCATTAAGAGCATTACAGGATGAAGGGGAGTGGTCATGTGATGGCCAGAAAAGGGTTTTGTCACATCTCATTTAAAGCTGAGAAGAGAAATGCGCATGCATCATTTGTTCATTAGTAAGAGTGCAAATGATTGAATTGTTGTCAATCTTCAGTTATACAGACGGGATATTTAAAACTGAACTGTCTGCCTCATTTATTGTGCCAGTGTCCTACTAATGTGCTCCTTTTGGGGGAAAGTAAATTCTGAAGTTGCATAAAAAGTGCTAATTAATTGTAAATTGTGATAAGGAACATTTTCCAAAATAAAACAAGCATCTAAGTGATAGCTTAGTTATTAACTGCATAAAATACTGGACATGAAAAAACCTCGCTGCATTAAATTACTTTATTGTCTGTTGCTAGTAATAGTTTTCACTGGGGTTATGTAATGGGGATTAAAAAATATCTTCATTACAATGTTTAGCTTTCAGCTTAGAGCAAGAACTAAAGTCAGAGTGCATCATGGTCATCCTTACAGCAGGGAAACACAGAAAAGAAGTTGGGCTAGCTAACAGCACCTTAACCTTCAGAAGTAAAAGGCAATGGACTGCTTTCTCAGATGGATTTTTGTGTGTGTATATTTGTGTGTGTGTGTGTGTGTATATATATATATATATATATATATATATATATATATATATACACACACACACACACACACACACACACACACACACACACACACACACTTACTTTATAGCCATATAGTGAAGTGACCATACGACCATGCTGTTTTCTTTTACCATATACTTTCCTTCAGTTTATGGGATTTATATGGCAAACTGCACCATATGTGTTTTCATAATGCTTGAGTATTAATGTATGGCTGGTCTATGTAAGTTTGAGGTTTGCAGAACTTCAGCATGACTTCAGAACCGTGAGACACAGATGTACTCCTGTATATACTTGGCGCTTGTATTGGTATGTGTACTATAGAGACCTTTGGCTCTCTTGTCAATAAGGTTAGCTCCATCTAACCTGATGGTGAAGCTCAGCAGCCTTCCCTCTTTATCAGTTTATGTTCCACATCAACACTTAGCCGCCCCTTGGGTCTTGATGGAGTTACCTAAAGTGATTCCCTACCCATTTGTTGCAGAGTGGATGTTTGGATCCTAGCCTGTACCGTAGAAACCATCTCCACCGTCCTCCTGAGATGACAAAACCAGCTCAATCTATTAATCATGCAGGAGGCTATGCCTGTACAGTGTAAAGATTCAATTGCAAAGTAAATGGATTAGAGGAAAGTGAATTGCTGTATTGAAGTATAGAGTCTGACAGGAAACATAAGGATTGAGGGGCTGGACCCTGGATGGTAAATAGACATTGTGGTGTGAGCGTTCTCCTTCTGCCTGCTCTTTAGGTATCGCTGTGCTTGACTGGGCATCAAACCAGTTACAATAATCTCATAAAAGAAGCCATTTTTAAATTTTTGTTGCATGAAAAAGTGATGACGTGTGGTCAAAGCTGAAGTTCTGTTTTATATTTGGTCATCTGAGTGTAATCTAGCTGAGGCAGGAGAGACTGATGTCGGTGTGTTCCTTTTAGAATAAATGGATTGCTGACCCTGTTACAAAACATGTTCAACTAATCAATAAGGAGGCTGCTTTCACTGGTTTCACAGTTTTAGGCCTTTTTAAAAATGCATTTTGTTTTCTTTAGGTCGGTTGGCTGAAAAGTTCTACTGAATACACTTTTGGCAGTTTTATTGGTGAAAACCCAGCCTGAGCTCTACAACGATGATATCTTTACAATGTAAACACAATGGACAAGTTTAGTTTCACGTAAACTTGTGTAAAATCTCCTTTCTTTTTTTGTTCTTTTTAAAATTAGTTACATCTGCTGAGTTCCAAGATTCTACAGGCAACGGGGAGAAATAGTAAGCAAATTCATAGAGACAGAAACCTAAACGGTATGAGTTTAGCTGATCAACTAATCTGTTACGCAATCAGTTATAGTTATGCCCTTTAGCTTTATACCTCAGCAGATCTGACCATCAGCCTTGTTCTTGACATCTGGCACCAGTACACTTCTTCATCCATCAGGCATCCACTCACTCCACAATCATTTTAATCAGTCTGGTTAAAAAGTCGACTGACCCCTCTCCTAAAAATCTCAATACCTCATCTAGACCCAGTGTGCTTCATCTTCTTTGTAGCTACCCTCACTTCCTCTTTACCAATCTTCTGCACTTCATGAGTCATGAACCTCTCTCTCGGTCCTCCTTTCTCCTTTGCTACCTTCATAAGCTCCTCATAAACTAAGGCGCTTGGAAAGAAAAGAGTCTAGATTTCTTTAAGTTTCTTGAAGATGTTTCACCTCTCAACCATCTGTCTTCTCTGTCCAAAATGTGAACATTGGGATCATCCAAAGAGAGTCCTTTAGATGCAGATGTACCTCTCTCTTTCCTTTATCCGCGACTCCACGGACTAACTTCTTTCTTTAACTCCATAAATATCCAAGAAGTTTCAACCATCTAGCTGTTATAGAATTTGGAGCTAGCCCCTCTCCTTCATTACTCCATCCTTTTGTGTAATGTACCAGTACCACGGTTAGCAAAACGGCTCCACAGCATGATGCTACCACCACCATGCTTGACAGTTGGTACTGCCCTTAGATTTGAAATCCTCACCTTGACTCCCCCAATGATCTCTTGTAACTGTGACAGATCAACCTTTGTATAGAAAAGTTTTATAGCCAGATGAGACTATGTATTTGGCCTCTCCAGCTGAAAATGTTAGTTGACCTTTGGAGCAGGGCCTTCTTTCTTGGGTAACATCCACACCATGGCAATGCAAAGCTGTGGCTGGCAAGTGACAGTAGCGTTTCCAGTAATTTTCAGTTCATGGCAGGCTTGAGTCTTGAGGGTTCGTGCGTTGTTCATCCTGATCTATTGCCTCTTATCTAAGGGTGACAGTTTGCCAAGATCTGAAAGACGACCCAAAGTAGTGACATTTTAAAAGTGTCGAAATGTGAATTTAAGGCATTGTTGAACTCAGCACCAAGTAAAGTATTTAAGTCGTGTCTCTGTGTGTATATTGATGTATTTGTAGGGTTGATTGGACAGACAGCAGCTTCCTCCCTTTGCCCCAAAGAGTTGTGACAGATAGATTCAGGCTATCTTAGACGGTCTGTATGTGTACTGTAAACCAAAATAAATTCGAACTCGTTCACCCAGTTCTTCCACCCTGGAAAAAGAGCATTTCATAGAAACGATTAAAAGCGGCTCATATTACCATGACTTTCATGCTCCTGAGTTTGTATAAACCTCTGATCGGGACTGTACGTGTCATCTGTTAATGTGTGGTCCCATTCTTCATCACTTAAAGACTATTCATCCATTAAAGAAATAAAAGCTAACTGTATGTTATACATGCAACCTGTGTATTTTAATGAAAGATTTTTTCAGTAACTACTTCGAAATATCCTATCTGTCCTTATACAGAAGGAAAAAAGTCAGAATACTGCTTTTTTACAATCTGATAGCACTGAGATTTATTAATTTGAGCAACTCTAATATCTAAATGTGTTTTCAGCTGATGCCTGTCAAACTGATTCAGGTCTCTGGCTAATGGTACAGTACTCTATACTAATTTTATTCATGTATCGGGATGCCCTTTGATTTGTTGTGTTTGTGATTTAAGAGAGCAGTTATCTACATCTCCATAGAGCTCAGTGTTCATCTCGCTGCTCGTCAGTGCTAGTACACTTTGCTCCTTGCAGAAAATAAAAGCTGCAGTCCATCAAGTCCAATCCCCTCACTGGTTGAATATTTAATTTCAGACGATGAATAATTTACCAAGATAATGGTGGATGGAAGAAAAGGCTGAGTGGAGCAATTCATCTTCAACCTAAACAGCAGTTTAATGTTCAGCATCAACAAAACCTAAAATCAGAAAAATCTGCCTGTATGGGTTCATGTTACCTAGAAGAGCTTTGCCGCTAAGAAGCACTTAAATTCTGCAGATAATTCAGCATAAAGTCAAAGTATTGAGACTCTAAAAAAGGTCACAGCTTTTTTTTTTTTTTTGTGATTCCATAGAAATAAGTTATATTATGTGTTTATTGCTGCTTTTTTACTCTTTTCTTTTCTAAACAAAGTGAAACGGAGATGTTGGTGTGGAGCAGACATTAAGCCATTAGGGTTGATCCATGTGTCGTTTCCACTGCTGAAAACAGGCACGTCAGTGATGTAGATCAAATGAAATGAGATGGATGTCGGCTGAGCGATGAAGTAATGGTGTAAAAAGTTATTCATTCATTGTGTTTAACGGGGACCTGCTGGTGACGGAGGCCAGCAGTTCAGCTTTAATAGCGTTTTATAATCCGGTTACAGCCAATTAGATGCTTCCACTGAACAGAAGCGAGTGATGGACTGGTCTGTTGTGAAACAGGACGAGCCACGATGGCAACCTGTGTAAATAATGCTGTGACCTGTGGTCAGCGTTGTTAAATGTGTGCTAACAGTCACTTTGTTGCAAAACGAGGTTCCAACAACGTGCGTACTTGAAATAACACTTCTTTGTGTCCTGTTAGGGTGGAGAGGTCCACAGACCAGGTCATCAAGCCAGTTAATGTGGAGGCCTTGTCCAAGTGGGTGGGAAAGATCCCAGCTGATGTGGTGAGGGACATGGCCGTCATCGCCCCTATGCTGTCCAGGCTAGGCTATGACCCACATGCCAATCCCCCAAACTATGGCCAACCTGACCCCAAAGTGCTGGACAACACTAGAAGGGTGAGTACTAAGCAGACGTGTTCATGATTTATATTCAGTTGGACTTCCATTAGCATCTTAAAATTTTATTTCTAAGTTTTGTAGAGAAATGTCAGAGTACTTTTAGTGGATAATAATAATAATACTAATAATAGTAATAATGATTGGATTTATATAGCGCTTTTCTAGGCACCCAAAGCGCTTTACAACTCCACTATTCATTCACTCTCACATTCACACACTGGATAAGAAGATGGATGAGTAATGATGTGTTTACTGTTGAGCTTCAGTGACTGGATGAATAACAATTGCCTTTGAGCAACAGTAGTGCTATCAAATCTTTATGCTAAGATAAGCTGAACTAAAAAGGTCCAACTAGCTTCTGGTTATACAGGGTGGACCATTTATATGGATACACCGTGATAAAATGGGAATGGTTGGTGATACTAAAGTCCTGTTTGTGGCACATTAGTATATGTGAGGGGGACAAACTCCTCAAGATGGGTGGTGACCATGGTGGCCATTTAGAAGTCGGCAACTTTTGTTTTTTCAATAGGAAGAGGGCCATGTGACACATCACACTTATTGGTAATGTCACAAGAAAAACAATGGTGTGCTTGGTTTCAACATAACTTCTAAATGGCCACCATGGTCACCACCCATCTTGAGGAGTTTGTCCCCCTCACATATACTAATGTTCCACAAACAGGACTTTAATATCAGCAACCATTCCCATGTTATTACGGTGTATCCATATAAATGGCCCACCCTGTAGAATCATATTTAGCATCCAGTCACATCTGTGTCATTGTTCTGATGTTTAGAAACTAAATTCCCTAAAAATGATTACATTCCCCAACAAATGCTTCACCTGACTTATTTTGAGTTTGTCTTTTTCCTTCTTTAAACTCTAAAACCCTGCCTTTGCTGTCCACTAAATGATTTTCATGGTAGGAACAGTGTCTAGAAAGTGTGATCAAACACGATGAGCCTCAGTATTAACAATGTAAATGTGGACACAAACCCAGTATCGTGTCAAAAGACAATACGAAGATACAAGATGAAGTGTATGTTACTACAGCACTCTGTACTGTGCTCACAAGAGATTATGGAATAGCAAATATTTTATATTTTCACTGATTCTGTGATCTTAGTCAAGTTTTAAAAATGAACTGCAATAAAAACATAATGATGTCATCAGAGTTACCTTAGCTTGAGTGTATGGTCTACACCTGGGGTGGGGGAACTCCAGGCCTCGAGGGCCGGTGTCCTGCAGGTTTTAGATGTGTCCTTGATCCAACACAGCTGATTTAAATGTGTTAAGGTTCTCCAGAGGCCTGGTGATAAACTAATCATTGGATTCAGGTGTGCTGACCCAGGGTGAGATCTAAACCCTGCAGGACACCGGCCCTTAAGGCCTGGACTTCCCCGCCCCTGGTCTAGACAAGAAATGACAATCTGCCTTTACTGAGGACAGTTTGCAGCATGCAAAACTCATTTCTTTGGTCAGTTTCAAATGAATAATTTACAAATGAAAGTAAAATCCAAAAATTGCATCTATCTATCTATTAGGGGTGCAACGATACTCGTATCGATATTGAACCGTTCGATACAGTGCTTTCGGTTCTGTACGCATATGTATCGAACAATACAAAATTTTTAATTTATTTGATCAACTTTCCTTCTGACGATGCTGTCTGTGTTGAGCGCTCAGTGGATCTGCGCTCGACAGTGCAGCCTAGGCGGAGTAGTCGAACGCAGATTCACTGAGCACAGGGCAAGCTAGCGAGACAGAAGCTGAGCTCCTTGAAACATGGCAAACTGAACCTCCCCCACCCTCATTCAGATCTGGCGTTTGGAACTATTTTGGTTTTCATGTGACGTATGACCCTGAAGGTAAGCGCGTCATGGACTAAAGTAAAACAGTATGTTGGATGTGCCACGCAATGCTCAATTACATTGGTGGGAACTAGTGCGTTAGCGCAGTTAGCTTGTTAACGTGTTGACGCCGTCCAGCCCCACCCACGAATAAACTCTCTTTTCCAAAGATGAGTGATTTCTCGATCAGATAGATTTTTTTTATTTTTTTTTATTACTTTGTTGTTTCAGCAACATTCAATTTAAATACTGTACGTTTGAGTTAAAATATATATTTATAATTTTAATAAATGACAAATTAAAGGCATGAACTTTTTTTTTTATATCGAACCGTGACACCAAAGTATCGAACCGAACCGTGAATTTTGTGTATCGTTGCACCCCTACTATCTATCTATCTATATATGTATCTACAACGAGATGTGTAGTTGAAGTATAAAGGGTATAGGATATAGTTGTATGGTTAAGTTTGACACTTGCTTGGGATTCAAAGTCGGGCGATGTTTTTGATCCATATCAATTTTGAATATTCTGCTTTCACATGTCACTCTAATGCTCTTCACTTTGCAGGCAGTCTGGTTTGTGTGATTAACTTTTGAATGTGGGATTGCAGTAGAAACAGACATTGCACTTTGGAGTACTTTATGTTGATAATGTAACTATTTTTATTACCATTAAAGCTGCTCCTACTTTACTGCATGAACTACTGCTGCTGTGTACTGTTCCAGTACCACTTTAAGCTTGTGTCCAGAGACACACTTTTTTATGTCTGTACATGTCTGCTTTCACTGCCTGCAAACAGCCTGACCTGTGGGTAAGAGGAGGGACAGGAACAGAACCACCAAACCAACAGTTCATGGCTGACATCAGATAAACGTGCTGCTGCTTAAGCACTTGCTGTCATAGTCGTATCCTTGCCAGACTTGTAACCCTCAGTAGTTATTTTTGGAGCAGGATATGTTTTATTGAACCCCTTTTCTCAGGCAGTGCTATCAGCTGACGTGCTATCAGCTGACGTGCTCTGCAGCCCCACTCTTTGAGTTTTAAACTGCATGTCTGGCGACAGGAATTAATTTTTATTTCAAGGTCTCCCTGTTACTTGGATACCTGTTTTCTCAGTGTGTCAGATTTTCTTTTTTCTAATAAGAGATGCTAGCACAGTGGTTCTTAACCTTGTTGGAGGTACCGAACCCCACCAGTTTCATATGTGCATTCACTGAACCCCTCTTTAGTGAAAAATAAAATGGGATTTTTTTCAAATTCAAGACATGCATGTGTTTTTTACTGGTGCACAAAATGAGCCGTGCATATCACGGCTGCTGAGGCTCTGCCGAACCCCTGAGAACGACTCACCGAACCCCTAGGGTTCGATCGAACCCAGGTTAAGAACCACTGTGCTAGCATCAAGTCGTCATGGAACTCATTTGAGTTATTGTAAGGCATTAGGACCACTGGGAAGACTTGCACTTGGTGCCTGTGGCGTCTGGTACTCAGAGTTTAGGGAGGCTGTGGTTTCCATTAGTGTGAAATTCCATTCTGTGATTGATTGATGGTCCAAGCTGTCTGCTGCTGGTAGACTGGTGTTAGTAGAGTATTGTAATTACTGGTAAGAAGACAAGGTAGACGAGCCGTGCTCCTTGAACTCTTGTTCACAGTTGGATTAGTAGTTTAGTGCTGGAACACGATGAAGAATGCCTCACATGGACGATTAGTGTGTTTTTCCAGGCTTGACCTCTCACCCTATCAGACTGCTGTCCAAACATTTTTGTCTGACTTGTTGCTTCCAAGCTGAAAGCACAGAGCTTTTTCTTCACTGGGTGTTTTTTGTCTGTCCATCTGTGGAGGCTGTCGGCATCCGTGCCACATACTTGTCCATCTCTTCAAACAAACATCAAGGTATTTCCCAAAGTCTTACACCTGGCATTTAAACTATAGAGTTTACCATAAAGTTAAGCTGCTGTGCATCTCATATGAGTATAAACTTTATACAAGTGTGTGTGTGATGACTTGGGAAGCCTCTTAAGTAGTAGGTTTAATGTGTCATAAATTGGGAAATCATCTCTCAAGATAACCTGTGGCTAAGTTCGAGCCTAGCATCAGTACCATTTCCAAAGTGTTTCCCTGGTCACATCAAAGCAGAGAGTGAGAATCTGACCTCTCAGTGAGACCTTAGCAGGTAGGCTGATAACTGAGATGCACTCAAAGTGGTGGTTTTGAAAAAGTTGTGTGTCGGTTTGTGTTTAATGTTTGGATTGCTTTTCCATTTGTTAGAACAGGACTTGAAGGAGAGAAGGCGAAGAATGAATTCATCTTGATGCTATTTTTACTCGTCAGGAGTGTAATGACCTGAATGGAAACATTTTGGAGTATAAGATGTGAGCGGAGAGAGGGCTTTGGCGTGTTTCTTGGGAATAATCTGTCTGACCACAGAGAGATGGAAACTTTAGAGAAAGATTTGCAAAGCCCGCTTCATGAAGTTTAAAGTGGAAATATTCTATCCAGTCACCGACTTGGTGCAACAGAGTATATAACTGGATCGTCATATTCAGCATATCAATGAATATTAACTGCAGCACACATCACGGATGTGGCTCGCCGATGCTGATGTTTCCATGTTTGCATGCAGCTGCAGTGTTTTTTTGTGATGCTCCATTGTAGTGAACAGCTCCTAAAATCGCAACGTTTGCTGCTGTGTTGCACTGCACTCCTGTGTGTTGCCAGTTAGCTGTCAAGGCCTGCATGCTCAGCTCTCCATGCTGTTCCCTCCATGTTGTCAGTGTGGCGGTTCCTCTGAAATAGTTAACATTGCTCACAGTAAACTTGCATGCCTCGTTGTCAGATATGTTGTGTAAATCTACACATGATCAGCGTGATCCCTCTGGACCGAGCCAGCTGCAGAGGTTATGCTGTTTATTTGTCCTCTGTGTTCCCTCCCTCTTGGCCCACAGTTCTTGTATACAAAGGAGGACCAGCTTTAGACAAACGAACAGACTGTCACAGTGCTCTGCAGTCTGTTTGCCTACAGATTTTACAATACATCAGGGGTAGGCAACTCCAGGCCTCGAGGGCCGGTGTCCTGGAGGTTTTAGATCTCACCCTGGGTCAACACACCTGAATCACATGATTCGGTCATTACCAGGCCT